TGGCATCACAGCTCACAGCAACCTCAAACTCTTGGGCTTAAGTGATTCTTTTGCCTCAGCCTCCCAAGTAGCTGGGACTACAGGCACCCACCACAACGGCTATTTTTCTTATTGCAGTTGTCATTGTTTTAGCAAGCACAGGCTGGGTTCAAACCTGCCAGCCTCCGTGTATGTGGCCGGCACCCTAACCAGTGAGCTACAGACAGGCGCCGCCAGCCAGCATAAGGTTTTTGAGTACTTATTCTCAATACATATATATGAATTTATAAGTTACATATGTATTATTTGATGCTGTTATATTATAAAATATGTCCAAATTGGAAGAGAAAAAACTATAATAAAAATGTGAATATTTCTGAAGTAGTCTTCCTGTAACCCATCCTGGGATCCGCTGTTCTGAATGATGCTTTTCCTGGGTGGTTATCTAGAAAGGTTCTTCCAGCACTGAAACTGAAGTCACTGCTTACACACATAGTTCTTCTATTCTGATATCCTTTCTAAGTCCATTTATTTCATAAAAGGCCTCCTTTTTCTTTTGTTATCTGGGCACTTTTTCCTGTACTTGTTCTTTTCACTTGTGTGCCCTTGGCCTCTTGTATCTGCCGGTTCTGTATCTGTGGATTTAACTAACTGGGGAACAGAATTATTTGGGGAAAAAACACAGTAAAAAGTAAAATACAATAATAAAAAAATATATAATTACACAGCATTTGCATTGTATTAGGTATTATAAGTGATGTAGAGATGATTTCAAATATATCGAAAGATGTTATGTAGGTTATGTGCAAATACTATGGCATTTTATATCAGGGACTTGTGCATCAGTGGATTTTGTTTATTTCTGTTTCTCCAACATTTTTTGTTAGCATTGATGGATTTTAATATCCAAAGGGCTCCTGGAACCAATCCCCTGAGAATACTGAGAGATGGCTATATTCATGTTGCAAATTTTTCTATAGTTCATATGGTATATACCAAGTAGGTGCAGGGAAATTGAACAAGTTAGTTCCTGCCCTCAACTGAGATAGGCCAGCAAATCAGGGGTTATAATCCAGAGGGCTACGGAGACACTGCAGAAGGGCGTGTAAAGAGAGACCTTGTTTGGCAGGAGCTCAAACAAGGCCTCAAACTTGGCCTTATTGCTCAGTCATTGCATCCTCTTCTCTTTGGGGGGATTTAATAAAATTACAGGCTTCTCCAAAAGGTTTTTTTTTCTTCCCCATGGTATTTAATCTTTTCTTTTGGAAAATATAAAATTCTAACCCACTGATTTCAGAAGAGTGCAAGTCATCACATCATTTCCTTATGTTAAGATGCTTACCTTTACATTTGTAAACTTAGATGTTAAGGTTGGAAGGGCTTTGTATAAGACAGAGCCTAAGTAGAAATAACTAAGTAGCTCCTGCTTTTAGGAAGAAGTAAAGTCATTTTCTAGAGGTGCGTCTTCTTGTTTCATTTAAGCAGTATTTTCAAAATGCCTTCTGGGTGGCAAAGGTACTTAATTCTGAAATATATTTCTCACATGGGCATTTACTAAATAAATTCTGAAGAATATAATGGATAATGCTATTGGGAGCAGATTCAGAAATGAAAGAATTGATTAGTTTTTTTCCCTCTCTTTTTTAGGGCAAGTTAAAGTCTTCAGAGCACTGTATACATTTGAACCCAGAACTGTAAGTATTTGGTTTTTAACTTTAAAATTGACATAAAAAGCTAAGGTGATTTCATTTAGACATTTCTTCTGCCCTAAATGGTCTGCCTTCTCTTTGATAAAACTAGGTAACCAATAGGAATGAACGTGGGTCACTTCCCATGCAGTCCAGGGAAGTGTGAGCTAAGCCCCTGGGTTAATTTACACGTCCTTCCAGTCCCTAGATCGTGTTGTTGTCCATCTTACAAAGCTTCTCCACATGTGATGACACTACCTGCTTTCCCATCACCAAGTGACTTGCATATAAAGCAAAGTGACCCTGTCTTAGTCATTCTTCCTCTTGTCCATGTCTCTGCTGTACGCATCTTCCATTGTTATAGTTCCTGGTATCCATCCATAAATCCGCCCATCCATCAACCTCCTATTATAGGCCAGAAACTTGTCTAGGCTTTGGGGATAGTGCAGTGACAACATATAGGACAATCTCATGGAGCTTGCATCCCTGAGGGGAGAGACAGGCAGTAAGCAGATGAATGAACGGATGTGAGTGTCAGGGCTAAGAGCAAAGAGGTTAATGGAGAGAAGAGTGTTCTTTTTCTCAATGAGGGTTCAGGGATGGCCTTTCTACAAAGGTGACATTTGAGAAGAGACCTGGAGGAAGGGAAGGAGCAGAGGGAAGAGCAAGTATAGGTGATACTAGACCTTGAGTTCTTGGTCCCCAAGTCAATAGAAATTGGCACAAGACCAGAAAGACTTAGGCAGGCAGGGCTTTCCTGGGGCTTTTGGCTGAACAAAAGGGAGACAGTTCTGATAAACAGGGCAGCCAGACGGGGTCTCTGAACAAGGGCTGGGGAAATACGGGGTTGTAAAAAGGAAGGTGGGTGTCAACTTTGATGTCATTTGCAGGTGGAGGTGGGATTCTGTTGGTGGCTGTAAACTTGGTGGCCATGCTTCTTTATGCATCACAATATCATTAGCATTTTAAATCTCCACCCCAGGCATGACTGTTAGTGTTAAAATGGGGTTATAATGAGGGAAAGGTCAGGGTAAGGTCAGTATGGGGGTCTATTTTGGCTTGAGGTAGTTAGATCCAGACAGGTCTGTTTTCTTTGCAGCCAGGTTCCTTACCAGTTGGTATCAGCATCTTTGTTCTGGAAGATGTTACTCAAGAGACAGATAATTGGGTAAGGTGCCAAGGTCATGCTTGCAATCCTACTACCCTGGGAGGCTGAGACCCGGGGGGGGGTCGAGGTTATCACTTGGAGATCAGCCTCAGCAAGAGCAAGGCCTCATCTCTACTAAAAAAAAAAAAATTACCCTATAGTCCCAGCTACTTGGAAGGCTGAGACAGGAGGATCACTTTAACCAAGGAGTTTGAGGTTGCTGTGAGCTAAGCTGACACCATGGCACTGTAGCCTGAAGAGCAGAGTGAGACTCTTTCTCAACAAACAAACAAAAAGAGACAGACAGTTGGGCCCCTCTTTATATGGGTATGAGCTGAATTCCAGCAGCTGGGAGGTCATTTGTTTTTGGTCTTCTACAATTAATTAGGCTGGGTCATGCTGCCCCATGTTGCCTCCCCTTCCTGTCAGAAGTGAGGCCCAGGTCTTATCCCTGTACTGTCTCACAAGCAGCATCTTGGTGGATTCCAGAGACAGCAGGGAAGAGAGTGTGGCTTGGAAAGTCGTGAGTAAGGGAATTGGTATAGAAGGCAAGTTCAGAGATTCGGGATTGGGCCAGAGGGCAGCTCAGGTTGGGCCTTGTGGATCTCATTTGAATTTTGCTCTGGGTAAGAATGAAAGTAGTCAAAGGGTTTTGCGTAAAGGAGTGAGGAGATAGCAACGTTTTCGGAGAATTACTATAGCTGAGATGTGGAACACTGACTAGGCAGTGGGAGGGTTTTGACACAGGAATGATTGATTAGTCAGTGAAGCAGGGGATCCAGATGGAGGCAAAGGAGAAAGAAACCAGGGAGGGGAACCTGCAGCCATTGACTTCTCTCTTACACACTAGAAGCTAGAGATTTCCCTCTGTGGGTAGTCAGCTTGCTGCCGCCTTCATCTGGGTTTGCCCTGGGCCCTGCTGTCCTCAGAGTCAGAAGCACCTCAGAAGGTAGCACTGAGCATTAATTCAGCTGCCAGGCCAGGAGCTGCCTTCAAATCCCAGTCACTTTAAAATGGGAGTGAGAGTCATCACTCCATGGTGGAACCCTACCGCGAGCATGGAGTGAGGTGACATTTAATGCCTACCACCTGGTGAGTGCCAGTGAGTGGTGGCAACTAGTAGAGCCAACATGGATGTGAGTGTTCAGGCTTTGTAAACAAAATGTTTCTGGTACAGGAAAGGGATGGTGGGCTTCTAGTTCTCATCAAGCGTTCCATTGACATCACTCCTGTGTGGAATAAGGTGGATAATGGGTAGCTTGTTAGTTTGTAAGGCTAACATAACAAAGTTTCATGGACTGGTTAACCACTGGAAGTTTATTTTGTCTCAATTCTGGAACCTGGAAGTATGAGATCAAGGTATTGATAGGGTTGGTTTCTTCTAAGGCCATTCCCTGCTTGTAAGTGGCTATCGTCTTTCTGTGTCTTTTCATAACCTTTCCTCTGGGTATGCCTATGTTCTAATCTCCTCTTCTTTTTTTAAATTCTTTTCTTTCTTTTTTTTTTTTTTTGAGACAGAGCCTCAAGCTGTCCCCTTTGGGTAGAGTGCTGTGGCATCACAGCTCACAGCAATCTCCAACTCCTGGGCTCAAGCGAGTCTCCTGCCTCTGCCTCCCAAGTAGCTGGGACCACAGGCGCCCGCCACAATACCTGGCTATTTTTTTTTTTTTTTTGGTTGCAGCCGTCATTGTTGTTTAGTGGGCTCTGGCTGGATTTGAACTCACCACCTTGGGTGTACATGGCTGGTGCCTTAGCCACTTGAGCCACAGGCACCGAGCCTAATCGCCTCTTCTTTTTCTTTCTTTCTTTTTTTTTTTAATAGGTTATCTGTTATGAGTAAGTAGTAGGTATTCTTTTTTTTTTTTTTTTTGGCCAAGGCTGGGTTTGAACCTGCCACCTCCAGCATATGGGACCAGCACCCTACCCTTTAGAGCCACAGGTACCACCCCTAATCTCCTCTTCTTATGAACATACCAGTCTTTGGATTGGGGCCTATACTAAAGACCTAATTTTATTTTATTTTTATTTTCTGAGACAGAATCTTACTCTGTTGCCCAGGCTAGACTGCTATGTTGTCAACCTAGCTCACAGAAACCTCAAACTCTTGTGTTCAAGCCCAGCCGGAGCCAGCTAACCAACAATGACAACCAACAAAAATAGGTGGGCGTTGTGGCAGGCAGCTGTAGTCCCAGCTACTTGGGAGGCTGAGGCAAGAGAATCAATCGCTTAAGCCCAGAATTTGAGGTTGCTGTGAGCCGTGACTCTACTGAGGACCACATAATGAGACTCTGTCTAGAAAAAAAAAACTTTGAACTTAAAATGTTATTGTATTTTTAATTTACAGTCCCAAGGATCGTAGGCTTTGGTCAAAAATGACGCCTCAAGCCCTGCTGCCTCCACACGTATCCCCTTTCCTCTTCCTCTCAATCTAGATGTGAAAGGGGTAGTGTCCGCCAGAGCAGGTGGCCTCTGCATCCCACATCCTTCCTGATGGGTTAAGTGCTCGTGTTGTACCTGTTATTAAGTTTTAAATATTATCCCAGAACTATTAAGTTTTAAATATTATCCCAGAACTAGGTTAGCCTTGCATCCTTCTTTCTCTTCTGTTTTCTTTTCTTGTCCTTTTTTGTCTTGTTTTTTATTCTCTCTTTTTGTCTTTCTCTTCTACCTTTTCCCTTTTCCCTTCTCTCTTCTTTTCTTCTCTTTTTTTTTCCTCTTCTTTTCTTTCAAAATTAGGTCTTGCTATGTTACCCAGGCTGGCCTTGAACTCCTGGGCTTAACCCATCTTCCCACCTTTCAGCTTCTCAAGTAGCTGGGACTACAGGCCTTAGTCACCCTATCCAGCTTCTGATATTCTTTTTCTGGGTGAGAATTTCTGTTAGACGATGTTGGAAGCTCAGTTTGGTCTACAGAGTGGTAGATTTATGGAACAGAATGGAGAACCAAGAGATGAACCCATCTACTGATTGCCATTTGATCTTCGGCAAGCCTATCAAAAGTATTCAGTGGAGGAAAGACTCCCTATTTAACAAATGGTGCTGGGTGAACTGGCTGGTGACCTGTAGAAGACTGAAACTGGACCCCCACCTTTCACCATTAACAAAAATTGATTCTCACTGGATAAAAGATTTAAAATTAAGACATGACACTATAAAAATACTAAAAGAGAGTACAGGGAAAACACTTGAAGAAATTGGCCTGTGAGAATATTTTATAAGGAGGACCCCCCAGGCAATTGAAGCTACACCAAAAATACATTACTGGGATCTGATGAAACTAAAAAGCTTTTGTACAGCCAAGAGCACAGTAAGCAAAGCAAACAGACAACCTTTGGAATGGGAGAAGATTTTTGCAGGTTATTCTTCTGACAAAGGTCTGATAACTAGAATCCACAGAGAACTCAAACTAATCAATAAGAAAAGAATAAATAACCCCATTTCTATGTGGGCAAGAGATTTGAATAGAAACTTCTCTGATGAAGACAGGCGCATGGCCTACAAACACATGAAAAAATACTCATCATCCTTAATCATCAGAGAAATGCAAATCAAAACCACTCTGAGATATCATCTAACTCCAGTAAGATTCGCCCACATCACAAAATAAAAAACTACAGATGTTGGTGTGGATGCGGAGAGAAGAGAACACTTCTATACTGCTGGTGGGAATGCAAACTAATATGACCTTTTTGGAAAGAAGTTTGGAGAACACTCAGGGAACTAAAACTAGACCTACCGTTTGATCCTACGATTCCTCTACTAGGTATCAAAAATTATTATTACTAATGATCAAAAATTATTTTACAACAAAGACATTTGCACCAGAATGTTTATTGCAGCCCAATTCATAATAGCCAAGACCTATTAAACAGCCCAAGTGCCTATCCACCCATGAATGGATTAAGAAATTGTGGTATATGTACACCATGGAACACGATGCAGCCATAAAAAGGGATGGAGACTTCACAACTCCTATATTTACCTGGATGGAGCTGGAACATATTCTTCTTAGTAAAGTATCTCAAGAATGGGAAAAAACAGTATCCAACATACTCAATACTACTATGAAATCAATATATAACCACCTACACACTCATACAAATGGCAAAACATAACTATAGTCCAGAAAGTAGAAGGGAAAAGGAGAGAGAGGGAAGAGGAGGGAGGATATGGGAGGAGGGAGGTCATTTGGGGGAACTCACCTAATGTGCATGGTGCAGTGGTACATTTCAAAACTATTAAGAAATGAGTATAATTGTGATGGATGTGTTACTTAGTTCAGAGTAAGCATTTCACATTGTATATCGAAGCAGTACCCTGAACCCCATAAATGCATCAATGTACAAAGTTATGATTTAATAAAAAATAATTAAAAAAATAAAAACATCTTCATAGCAAAAAAAAAAAAAAGTCTGTGGAGAATTTATTTTTTCTTTTTATTAATTTTGGGGGGGCTCCATGTTAACAAATCTGCAAACTTTCACAAATAGATAATGGTTTTTCTAAGCTTTTCATGAAGTATTTGCATAAACTAACAAAATGAATGCCCTTAGAATTATATGTTACCAAGAATATATGGAATGGGAATGGGAATATATGATCCGAAGTTTGTGCTCATGGCTGGCACAGTCTAGTGGACAACAGCTTAGTTGTTCTTTAATCTTGTGGTTCTTCAAGGAGAGAGGCAAGGAGGAATGTGGTTCAAAACCAAAGAACAAGCTGGAAATAGAGAAGTGCTTACTTTATTATATCACTATTTTTCCACTTCTGTTCCATGAATATGATGCCAGGAATTTAAAAGCAGCTCCTCATCGAACAGTTTACATCAAGTATCTTTGTAGTAGTTTCTTAATGGAAAATGTGAATCTTATAGGTAAAATTGGTTTTTTGGGTTTTTTTTTTTTTTTTTGAGACAGAGTCTCACTTTATTGCCCTTGGTAGAGTACCGTGGAGTCACAGCTCACAACAACCTCCAACTCCTGGGCTTAGCCAATTCTCTTGTCTCAGATTCCCAAGTAGCTGGGACTACAGGCGCCCACCACAACACCTGGCTATTTTTTGTTGCAGTTTTGGCCGGGGCCGGGTTTGAACCCGCCACCCTCGGTATATGAGGCTGGCGCCATACTCACTGAGCCACAGGCACTGCCCCTAAAATCGGTTTTTAAAATCATGAAAATGCTTTGTTGTCTGTTCAGCTACCAGCAGTCTGAAAAATTTGGTAGACCACCTGCTTAGCTGAATTAGGGAAAGTGCCCCTACTTTCTTTGGAAGAAGGTATTGTACAGGGGGTAGGACTGTGCATCTGGGAGCTGTGAAGTTAAGAGAGAATCAGCTGTGTGCTGTAATTCCTCAGGGTGAAGAAATAACCTTTTTTCACCTGCCTGAAATGGAGAGCTGTTGCCTCTATTGAGAAACAAGTCTGACCTAATGGGAGGCTTGTGGCCGATACCATTACTGAACAGCAGCCATCAATTTAAAAACCAAAACAGCACTGAGTAGTGAAATAACTGGACTTAGTGGCATTTTCCAAATGATGCACTTTACCAAACCACAAAGGGCAAGAATTGCTTAAAAGACATTGAAAGTTTTTACTGTCTTGGGGTTTATTGCATTTTTAAAAATTAAGATAAAATTGACATAACATAAAATCAGCCATTTTACAGTGATCAGTTTAGTGGCGTTTAGTACATTCACAAAGTTGTGCAATTGCTACCTCTGTCTACTTGCAAAACATTTTTATGAGCCCAAAATAAAACTCTATACCCATTAAGCAGTTACTCCCTATTTTACCCAGATTTTATTACTTATTTTATAAAGAAGACTAATCACAGGATTTCGTGTGTGTGCTTTGTTTTTAGGACCTATTTATTTGGTACTTTTTTGTAACCTTTTTGTTTCAAGGGTGAGTGATCTTATTAAATGTGGACATTTAGAGACCCTTGACTTTTGTGATTTTTTAGAAAGAGGCTAAAACTGTAGGCTAAAACTCCTTAACTTCTCTAAAAACACTGACTGAGGAGGATTACTTAGTAAGACATAACTGGGCAAGATTAACTTTTAGAGATGTATTCAGTAAGAGTGTGGGCCAGGACAGCCCACAGATCTCTGCAAGGCAGTGGACTCTTTCAAAAGTCCAGGAAATGAAGAGTCACTCCAGGAAAATGGTGCAGTTCACATACATCCTGTTTTCCTTACATTGTCTTCTTGTGTTCTTCCCTCCCCTGCCTTTATCTTATCTAAAGGAGAGATGACAAATGGTATTAAAATTGCCAGCAAAGGTCGCCCTGCATGGCTGAGGCATCCAGCTGTGGTGGGGAGTGAGTTCTCTTTCTGGCCTCTTGAAAGTGATCTAGATCACAGCAAGGAAATCTAAAGGAAACAGTGGAACCTCCATAGCTGACCACGTTCCTACATTGACCACCTCAAGTTCACCTAGTTTGGACCAAACATGCGTCACGTATATGTATCAGTATAGTAGGCCTAGTGCCTTATGGCGACCGCCTCTGTATGTTGACCAGTTTGTTACAGTTCCTTGGGTAGTTGACTGACAGAGATTCTACTGTAGTTTGTTTCCCAGTCACTTTGTATATTCATTACATATTAGTAGTGATATTAGTCATCCATCATCAGAACATCTTACAGGCAAATTTGAGAAAATCTTACAGGTCTTTAATTTCTTTTTCTTAAATTCAAATAACAAACAGAAAAAAAGAAAAACTTATTTCAAATAAAATATATGGCATCAGGCTTAATAAATTTCATTTTGCAAAGCTTATGCTTTCTCTGTAAGTGGAAGTATAAATATAGCAAATGCTGCAGGAATGCCTTTTAAAGGACTTTTAGCCTTTTTAAGGGGGTTTCATTAACCAGCATCTGCTAATTTTTATATTTGAATGCCTATTGCTTATAAATACTCATGTATTTGGTTGCTTAAAGTATGATATAGTTGATTTAGTCTTCATTTAGAACCGGGGGGCAATAGCTATAATAATAATATAGATGAGCTTTGAACTGAAATAAATTACTAATGCAGGGTCATGTTTACTGCCCTAGTCTGCTACTGAGAGGAGGTAAATAACTTGAAAAAATGAATGGATGAACTAATTTGTTTCATTAGCATAATTTTTGTTTGTAAGGAATAGTGACTATGATCAGCAATATGAAAGCCTTTCTTTGAAAGGTATTTTTTTCTGCCAAAATTGTGAAAGTAATGCACGCTTTCAGATAGGAAATTTGAAAAATTTGCATAATTGTGATCTTATCCTATGTGAAATTTTCTGCCCTATATTTTTCATTCAACATGATGATGAATGAATGAAACATTTCCTAGTATCTAAAATTTGCTCTCAATAGCCATCGTCCTATTTACTAAGAAAGTTATGATAAGCTGTTATCTACTGATGGGAAGAAAGATGTTTAATTAAAGTGCCTGGCTTTATTCAGAGAGTTTGTAGGCTGTTTTGTTGGTATAGGCCAGAGCATATATGGTCTGTTTAATTAGGTAACCCCTTTGCGCTACCTGTGGTCTTTGGACTGGCTGAGTTACTGCCTCTTATATTTTAGCTCTTTAGACTTATTAATGGTTGAATTATGTATTAATTATTTTTATACATGAAATACTCATTCTTTCTAAACATGAAGAGCTAGGATAATGGATTTCTCAAAGTAAGCATATAGCAGATGTGGATCTTAAAGTGTTTCAGGATTGAGGGCTTGTTTATGAGAAAACCAAGCTTCTGGCTATTTTTCATGGTTTTAATTCTAGATACTTATCCTTTTATGAAAAAGTATATATCACTTTTTGGAAGCAGTTTTAATATGTAAAAATGTCTTGCTTTTGTTGTGGAAGAATATAAGATATGTGTGTGTGGAGGGAATCCTTACTTGATTTATATGTAATTCTTTGAAGTTCATTATCAGAAATGTTCACTCTTCTATTCATCTATTAATTTGTCAATAATGTTTTGTTATATAGCTCACATTACGTTGTTTATAGGGATATGTTACAATTTGCAATCTATGAAATTAAATAAATCATTATATTCTAATTCTTAAAAAAAAAATCACATGCGGTCAAACCTTTCTTTTCTTCCAGCCAGATGAATTGTACTTTGAAGAAGGTGATATTATTTACATTACTGACATGGTAAGCCCAGCCGAAATTTTACAACATTATCTATGTACTAATGATATATAAGACTGTTTTATGTAGCTGTATTATTGTAAATTATTTAAATGTATATGTATGTAGAAGTACATATGTACAAGTCTATCCATTTTAGCACAATTTATAGTAGCATAAGATTAAAAGTAACCTTTTCCATCAGTAAGACAGTAGTTGAATAAGCTTTGGTCTGTCCACAAATAAAATATTATGCAGCTATGGAAAGGAATGAGGAATATCTCCATATGCTATTATGGCATAATTTTAATAATTTCAGTGAAAGAAGAGCAATGTGAAAAAATGTAGGTATTGTGCCCTCTCTTACCTAAGGAAAAGTGAGAGGATATATATATACCTATTTTCCTCAATTTAAAAGGTCTGGTGCTGAGCAGCTAGGGTGCCAGACCCATACACCAGAGCTGGCGGGTTCAAACCCAGCCCGGGCCTGCCGAATAACAATGACAACTACAACGAAAAAATAGCTGGGTATTGTGGCAGGTGCTAGTAGTCCCAGCTACTTGGGAGGCTGAGGCAAGAGAATCGCTTAAGCCTAAGAGTTTGAGGTTGTTGTGAGCTGTGATGTCATGGCACTCTACGGAGGACGACATAGTGAGACTGTCTCAAAAATAAATAAAAGAATAAAATAAAAGGTCAAAGGATGAGTCATAAAATTTACTTTTACTCTATGTAGAGGAAAGGTAGTAGGACAGAATAAAGATAGATGGAAGATGGACTTTTTAAAAAATTATACCTTGTTGGCTTGATGCCTGTAGCTTAGCAGTTACAGCACTGGCCACATACATCTGGGCTGGTGGGTTCAAACCCAGCCCAGGCCTTGCCAAATAACAATGACAACTGCAACAAAAATAAAGCCAGGCATTGTAGCAGCTGTAGTCACAGCTATTTAGGAGGCTAAGGCAAGAGAATTGCTTAAGCCAAAGAGTTGGAGGTTGCTGTGAGCTGTGACAGCACAGTGCTCTACAGAGGGTGACATAGTGAGACTCTGTATCAGATAAATAAATAAAAATAAATTATACCTTGTTTTGAAGATTTGACTTTGGAATTATATAAACTTTTACTTAGTTATAAATTTAAATAGTAAAAAGCAATTCCTAAAAGTTAAAAGCAGAATGAATTCAATTAGCTTAGTTGTATCCTGGTAATTGGTACAATCACACAGAAAGGGAGTATTCCAAGTGTCTTTAAAAGTTAGCAGTTTGGCCTATGGCTCAAAGGTGTAGGCACTGGCCCCATACGTTGGGGGTGGCAAGTTCAAACCCAGCCCCGGCTAAAAACTGCAAAAAAACTTAGCAAACTTAACAGTTTGATTGAACATCCCTAGTAGATATATAAAGTACAAAATGAAACAAATAATTAAACTTTTGTTTTTTTTAATAATTTGTCTCATTCTGTTGCCCTGGGTAGAGTGCTGTGGTGTCATAGCTCACATCAACCTCAAACTCTTGGGCTCAAGAAATTCTTTTGCCTGAGCCTCCGGAGTAGCTGGGACCACAGGTACCTGCCACAGTGCCCCAAAATAAACTATTTGAATCACGACCATGTTAGAGAAGTGCTGGCATTGCTAATTCTCAGACTGTTGTGGTTTAGAGCAAATGAGTCATTAGATCAGTGATGTTGATAAACCAGGATTTTCAGCATGGCAAAAAGGGTATACAGATGTAAGATTAATAATGTTAAGTAAAAGCTACGTTGTCTTTCATTTGAATCGGAAGGATTGTTGTATTTTATCTAAAACAAAACAAATAAAACTATTTCCTGCTCTGCTTTTTGACAGGGCCTACAAAAAATGACCCACCTAATAATAATTATGTTGTTTCTTTACTTTGAGAAATAGCCAGTACCAGCTCTGAGGCAGCAGGTGTACATATCAAATCCAGAACATTTTATGATGAAAAAACAAAGAAGCTCCCAAAGACTAGTAGGGTCGTGTAGAAAAGACTCAAGAACTAACTAGAAGAGGCTCCCACTGGCCAGACAGACATACGATGATTTGAGTATCAGTTAGGGCAACAACTCTCAAGGATTGAAAACACACTAAATATGTTTAAATTTTACGAGTTCCTAATGTTACTTTAAAGCAAGCCAACATGATTGGTTAGCATAGGAAAATGCTAGGGAACCAACTTTTCATTCTGACAACTGTTAAGGAGAAGAATCAACTTTTTTTTCTCCCTATGAGCCTCATCTCTGGGTAATCTTAGAGTTGATGAGGGAAAGTTTCTCTTCGAAGACATATTCTAGTTATGTAAATGAAGAAGGAATGATAGGATTATGTCACCATTTTGCAGCTTCTACAAAATAATGGACCCAGACGTTGATCATCACTGGCTACTAATAATACAAAAATATGCCAGCCAGACATTATGTATTTCCCAGTAAGAGAAATCAAAACTACCTGTAAAATAGCTTTGCCCCCAAATTTGAAGCTGAATCTAAGTAAGGCTCACTAACAAATAATTTATAGTTAATACGGGGAAATAAGGAACAGGTTTAATGATAACAGTGATGCAACAGACAAAATCTATAGCATTTGAAAGTATAGAACAAACTGGTTTCTTTACCAAATATATCCTAAGAGCTAAAACGGAATGAATTAAAAGAAACTTAAGAGACAAATCAATCAATCATATTGTATGGTCCTTATGTGAATCTCAAATTACGGAGCAATTGGGGAATTTGAGCATTGATCTAGATATCAGATGATATTAAGGAATTATTGGTGAAAAAATAAGCTGTGTGATAATGGCATAATTGTTTTAGAAAAAGTCATTATCTTTCAGAAATATGTACTGAAATATTTATAGATGAAATAATATGATGTCTAGAATTCATTTCAAAATAATCCATTAGGTGAGGGAGGTTGCGGCAGGCATAGACCAAACAGTATCGGCCATGAGTTGATGCTTCGTGCAGTTGGGAAATTAGTATATATGTAAGTTCATTGTATTGTTCTTTTTACTTTAGTGTAGGTTTGAATTTTTCTATAATAAAAAATTACCCCCCCCAAATTAAGACAACATAAGGAAGTCTTTAGGACCACTTCCCCATGCTCCCTCCAAAAGAAATGCCTTGAAACTAAGAGAAATTAAACTCTAGACAAAAAATATCATATGACAAGTTTAAACTAATATAGTTATTTTCCTTCTCCTGCATATTATCTGTTTGCTTTGTTTGGTTGTTGAGGCTCTGTGATGAAGCACATTTGATTTGTTGCAGACAGACGCATATATATTTGCAATTTAATGATAAGGGAAATGGACATCCATAGCTAGCATGTGAGGACTGATGAATGTGGGTAGGGCGGAGGGTCACTTTGTAGGACAGGTGTGCCCTAGGAACTAAAAGGTTTTAAAAGTGATTGAACGCAAACTGGATTTGGTCCCACTTAAATTACCTCTTCATTTACCAGAGTGATACCAATTGGTGGAAAGGCACCTCCAAAGGCAGGACTGGACTAATTCCAAGCAACTATGGTGAGTGTTGCCCAAGTGGGTTTACTTTATACTTTGTTCACTTTCCGTAATCTGGTTCTTGCAGCCTTTCTACTTGCTATTATAAACTGAAAAAACTATGGAGTTGTTTAGGACAGTCTCAGACATTTTCCACTCTGTGACCTTTGTGTTAATAAAATGGCTGGACACCAGACGTGCTTGGGACTCCTTGGTCTAAGGGAATGCAGTGTAGCATTTTTGAAAGAACCCAAGATTTCTAAGGAAATGCCTATGGTTTACTTTGTTCAACTCTTACAACAATTTTTTTGTAATGCTGTTAAGCTAAATCTCCCAAGTCATTTCTTAGATTAGCCTTTCTTTCTTGATGAAGCCTTATTAATTTGTACTTGGTGCAGAGATATTTATCATTGCTTATCATGGTAGTTTGGGAAGCTTGAATGATGAAGCTGGCTCTTGCCACGAAGATGTGTCTAACTGGAAGAGGAAAATACAGCAGAGTAAAGCCAAAAGAGCACAGGTCAATAAGGGCCTTTTTAATCCTTTTCTTTCACTTCCTGATAACAGAGCACCTTAATTAAACACCAGTTTCCCCTTCGGTATAATGACAGGGTTGACTTAGATCACTTTTAAGATTCCCTTAGATTTTGGCATCAGATGAGTTCTTTTTTTTTTTTTGAGACAGGGTCTCACTATGTCATCCTCAGTAGAGTGCTGTGGCATCATAGCTCTCAGCAACCTCAAAGTCTTGGGCTTAAGCAATTCTCCTGCCTCAGCCTCCCACGTAGCTGGGACTGCAGGTGCCTGGCTATTTTTAGAGAGGAGGTCTCACTCTGGGTCAGGCTGGTCTCCAACCCATGGGTTCAGGTGATCCACCCGCCTTGGCTTCCCAAGTGCTAGGATTATAGGTGTGAGCCACAAATCTGGCTCTCTGATGAATTCTTAAAGCAGTAGTGCTGGCATCAGGGACCAGTTCCAGGCACTGGAGAGAGACTTGGACAATTTTAGGGAAGGTACTGAGGAGCTCCTAGAGCATGGGGGGTGAGGGCTTAGGCTTGGGGTCCAGCACAGGGTCTCTGCTTGCTCTGGTTTAATGGTGTTACTGTTTGGGTTTTTTTTTTTCAACAAAGTCTCAGTCTGCTGCCCTGGGTAGAGTGTGCCATGGCATCATAGCTCACAGCAGCCTCAAACTTTTGTGCTACAAGCAATCCTCTCGTAAAGGATGGGTTTTGATGGGTTTTGACAAATACATACACCTCCCAACTAGCTGGGACTACAGGTGCCCACCATCATGCCTGGCTAGTTTTTCTATTTTTAGTAGAGATGGGGTCTCGCTTTTGCTCAAGCTGGTCTCGAACTCCTGAGCTCAAGCAATTCACACCTCAACCTCTCAAGTATTGCTGTTGTTTGCCAAAAAGATTTTAAACATTTCTATACTCTTCTAAGCCTTTAAAATCCCAAATACATTTTTAGAGGGCACTGCATTTCCTGCCTTGGTGATAGACTCTGAGGGTGGAAGATGAGCCTCTGCTGCTCTGGGCCCCTGTTGGCCCAGGAAGTGTCCTGCAATAGCCCTTTAATGGTGGGAGGAGGTGACCCGGAAGTTTATCTGAACAACTGGCTTCCTTTGAGCATTCTTACTGATTCTAGGATGATAGTGAACATGGTTTCCTTTCCTTAGCGGTAGGTAGGTATGCTATTTTTGTTCCTAAGTACAGGACAAAAATATTTCCCTTTATCTCCTTCTATATGCAGACGCAAAACAGAATCAGAATTATTTTCAGGCATCTTCAAAATAGGGTGCTATATGGAATGTAAAAATGAACATCAGATACTTTCCTTTGCATTTTTGTGACTGTTTATTAAATACTTGAGTAAACTCTGAAGTCATGCAGGTCTGTTTGTTTTTGTTTACACTTTCAGCTCATTGCTGTGGTATTGCCTTATGCTTGGCTTGGTTTCATTTACCAATTTAATTCAGTTCCTTTTAAAACAGGGACTATCCATTTGCTTTTCTGTTATTTTTTGCCCACATTAAGTAAGGGACACTGTATTGTCCAAGGCCCTTGGGTGCCTGTGGTGCCTGTGGTGCTTCCATGAATCATTGGGTGACATTTCAACATTGGGTTTGCACTTTTTGTTTTCAATCTAGTGGCTGAGCAGGCAGAATCCATTGACAATCCATTGCATGAAGCTGCAAAAAGAGGTAGGTGTGATTTCTTTGATTGAGTAAAAGTTTAGATGGGTTTTAACAAATACATACACCTGTGTAACCAATACCTGGATGGCAATCTCTAGACCTATGTCTATCATGCCAGAAGGTTCTCTGTCCACTTTCCCTGTTAAACCCCCTGCCTCCTCCAGAGGTGATGTCTATTCTGATTCTTATCATTTTAGGGAGGTAAGTGTGATTTTATTCTTAAAATTTTAGTCTTTTGAGCGCTTTTCTTACCCTGTGCTCAGTGACAAGGAGAGGCAACAGAAAAGCGTGGTTTATCATTTCCAAAGCTCAAAGGCTGGCATGAAAGAGAAAGAGAGAGAGATGTAAAATATGACATGCCCAGTACAGTGACCAAAGTGGGCTTAAATTAAACAGGTATAGAGACTACAGTGAGTGGCTGGAGGGCTGGAGGGTGGAAAGATCAAGGGGGGACAGCTTTAGGAGAGTGTGGGAGCCTTGAAGGTTTGTGGGCTGGGGAGGGAGCAGCAGGGGTGAGTCTAGGGAAAAGCCATGGCCAGACAGTGATGAGTCTTATCTTAGGCTTTATTCTGTAGATCAGAAGTTATCAACGAGGGGTGATTTCTTCAAATCCCAGGAAAATTTGGCAATATCAGAAGATATTTTGGCCATCATGACTAAAGGGGTGCTACTGGCATCTTTTGGTTAGAAGTGGAGTGTATCAGTGCCTGGGACAGCCCCTACAACAAATCCGACTCCACATGCCCATAGGGCCGCTGTCCAGAAACCCTGCTATAGATAATGGAAAGTTTTTGTAAAGCCTCAGTGAACTCTGTTTCGTGCTATTTTAGATTTTTTTGAAATCTGAATGTGCAAAAGGAAATTATTGGTTTAAGATTACGCATAAGTAGGACTACTAAACTGATACTTTAAAAATTCTTCCTAAATTAGATACTAAGAGCATTAGCCTGAGGATTTTAAATTAATGGTTATACTTTAGCTACATGTAGGAGCAGCAGCTTTGAGTACATTGTTTAACGTTTCTTTTCTTGTAAGAAATGAAAATGCATTGTAAATATGAATGTGAATAGTATCTACTACTTGTTCCAAGATTTGATTGTTTTTTTCTCAAGTTCTAGGAAAAAGTATGTAGAACAGTAGAACCTCCGTAGTTGACCACTGCCCTACGAAGATCACCTCCTTAAGTTGATCTAATTTCCAGAGATCAGACATGCACCACATGTGCATGTCAGTGTGGTAGGCCTAGTTCTTAAGTTGACCACCTCTGTATGTAACCAGTTTGTTATAGTCCCTTGGGTGGTCAATGTACAGAGGTTCTACAGTATATATTTTTTTACAGCTTTTGAAATCCCAAATATACCTTTACAGTACACACAGCATTTCCAGCCCTGATCATAGACACAGCAATGCTTTAAGTAGAACCATTTAGGCAACTCTTCCCATTAACCTACCATTAAAAATTGATGTTAATGCTTTCCATTAATAAACTGAAAGTTCAAATATACCACAATAAATGCATTAAGGGGCAGGTCTTAATTTAAGGCATGCTGATTAATCCATTGCAAATGGAAATTTATGCAGGATGAAATTGATTTCAAAGCAAAACAAACATTAAAAGCTTTTTTCTTATTTTTATAAATGTAAAATTCTTTCAGGCAACTTGAGCTGGTTGAGAGAGTGTTTGGACAACCGAGTGGGTGTTAACGGCTTAGACAAAGCTGGGAGCACAGCCTTATATTGGGCTTGTCACGGGGGCCACAAAGGTATGTTGTTTGTAATTGTGAAGTTTCTGTGCTGCTGAAAGTGTGTTTCACCTAAGGGAGTCTGACTCACAAAAATGAAAATGAAATTCCCTGGCTATTCTTTTTGGAATATCAGCTTCTAGCTTATTCCAGGAAGCTCTGTAGAACAGTGGGTAGAATGTGGTTAGTCAGCCTCACTGCCTGGGTCTCTCTCACTTGAAAAGCTGGAAACTTCCTTTCCTCTCTCAGGCTTAGAAGGTTACCAGAAAACAAAAGTAATGGAAAAAACAAACCCACTATCTAATCTTAGAGAAGGAAAGGGCAGAACTGACTCCTCTGGTTTAGCCTTTCTCAAGGTATGCTTTTATGATTTGCATTTTAAGTTCAATGCAAACTATTAGTTTCAGGAGAAAGATAACATTCACTTAAGTTTGTGAGTCACTTGATACTTTCTGTGTTATAATCAATAATAATGATAGGCTGGGCACCTGTAGCTCAGCAGCTAGGGCGCTGGCTACATACACTGGGGCTGGTCAGTTCAAACCTGGCCCGGGCCAGCTAAACAACAAAGAGGACTGCAACTACAACAACAAAATAGCCAGGAACTGTGGCGGGCGCCTGTAGTCCCAGGTTCTTGGGAGGCTGAGGCAAGAGAATCACTTAAGCCCAGGAATTTGAGCTTGCTGTGAGCTATGATGCTACGGCACTCTACCAAGAGTGACTCTACCGATAGTGAGACTCTATTTCAAAAATAATAATAATAATAATAATGACAAACTGAATGTCTAGATGTATTTCATCCTGGCCAAAATTCTACCACCTACTCTCTTTCTTCCCCTCTCTAAATAAAAAAAACAAACCCAATAGCAATGAGCAGTGAAGAACCCAACAAATTAAATAGCATAGCCAAAGGAAAATTTGTGACTGTCCCAAAAGAAAACTACCTTATTTTAGCTAATAAGCATAATTTAATTTTATGAATACAAAGCATTATAATGAATATTAAAATATGCCTATAATTGAAATCATCTGAAAATACAAAAACCAAAACTATTAGAAAAAACATTTTCCCTTAAATAATTCTACTTTTTAGATTCTTAAGTTTTTCCATTTACATGCATTTGTTAAAATTTTCCTTTCTTTTCTTTTCTTTTTTAAATGTTGAGACAAGAGTCTCACTGTAGTCTGGGCAACAGTCATAGCATTGGCCTAGCTCATAGCAATCTCAAACTCCTGGGTTTAAGTGATCCTCCTGCCTCAGCCTCCTGAGTAGGTAGAACTATGGGTACCAGCCACAATGCCGAGCTCATTTTTCAATTTTTAGTAGAGACAAGTTTTCACTCCTATTCATGCTGATCTCAATCTCCTGAGTTCAAAGGTTCCTTCTGTCTTGGCCTCACAGAGTGCTAGGACTATAGACCCCTGCACCTAGCCCCAAATTATTGTAATAATAATAATAATAATTATTATTAGACCCTCAGTAGAGTGCTGTAGCGTCACAGTTCACAGCAACCTCTAGCTCTTGGGCTTAGGTGATTCTCTTGCCTCAGCCTCCCGAGTAGCTGGGACTACAGGCACCTGCCACGATGCCCAGCTATTTTTTTTATTGTTGCAGTTTGGCCAGGGCCAGTTCGAACCCACCACCCTCGGTATATGGGGCTGGTGCCCTATGCACTGAGCCACGGCCATTGCCCCTCAAATGTTTTTTGACACGGGCATTGCCCCTGAAATGTTTTTTGAAGGTTCTTCCAAAGAATCATCTTTTTAAAAATTTATTAAGCCTAGGACTAGGGTAGGTGGCTCAAGCCTGTAATCCTAACACTCTGGGAGGCCCAGGTGGGCGATTGCTTAAGCTCAGGAGTTTGAGACCAGTCTAAGCAAGAGTGAGATCCCATTTCTAAAAATAGCCGGGCATTATGGCAGGTGCCTATGGTCCCAGCTACTTGGAAGGCTGAGGCAAAAGGATTGTTCGAGTCCGAGAGTTTGAGGTTGCTGTGAGCTATGACGCCATGGCACTCTACGAGGGTGATAGAGTGAAGCTTTGTCTCAAGAAAAATTAAGCCTAGATGTGTTAGACATTTTACTGTCAAATAATTTCTTTTCTATTTGAATTTCAGATATAGTGGAAATGTTATTTACTCAACCAAACATTGAACTGAACCAACAGGTGAGACTGCTTATGTGGAAATCCTTGAACACACCCTACCTTCTTATTAGTACAGAGCAACTTATGGGTATCTAAAGTATTTTAATCAAAATACCTTAAGCACATAGTTTAAAAGTGGAGATCCCCAGGGAGACAAGAAAGGATGGCAAAGACCAAATTGCTCAGACTGGAGAAGGGGGATGGGGAGTTTGAGAAAGTTACCAGTCAAGGGAGAAAAAAGAAATTCACTGATTAACTTTCACATTTTGGAAAACTGTATCAAAAGTGTATAAAACAGTGTAGACATCTTAGATACAAAAAAAAGTAAATAAAAGTCAATCATTAATATATTAAATATAGAATCAAAAAGTTATGTAAACAGCAAACACTATTTAGATAGCCTCAATAATGCAAACATTTTGTAGTAATATAACCAAAAACTTTGATCAGATACATTGGACAGAACCGAGGAGGAAGAACTGTTATTATTGTATTAAAATTCAAATGGTACAAAAGCACTGCCCTACTCCTCCTGACATCTCACTTTCAGCTCCGAGCTCTTTCTCGTCCGTACCTTCCTATTACTAAAGTGTAGGAGTTTGGAGCTCTCCTGTCATGCATCATCTTCATATGTATTTGGGCTTCCTATGGGCAGGAGAAGGGTACGCTTGTCAGCTGGCCCCACTCTGATCGTCCAGCACCCAGTTCTTCCTCTTCGGTTCTGTCCAATGTATCTGATCAAAGTTTTTGGTTATATTACTACAAAATGTTTGCATTATTGAGGCTATCTAAATAGTGTTTGCTGTTTATATAACTCTTTGATTCTATATTTAATATATTAATGATTGACTTTTATTTACTTTTTTTTGTATCTAAGATGTCTACACTGTTTTATACACTTTTGATACAGTTTTCCAAAATGTGAAAGTTAATCAGTGAATTTCTTTTTTCTCCCTTGACTGGTAACTTTCTCAAACTCCCTATCCCCCTTCTCCAGTCTGAGCAATTTGATCTTTGCCATCCTTTCTTGTCTCCCTGGGGATCTCCTATACTTGTCTTCTGTGTTATATCTTCACTTTTCTGTGTCCTGTGGCCTCCTGTTGTCAAAGAACATCTTCAAATAGATTATTGAGAAACAGGAGCTTGGGATTGATTTTTTTTGGCTGATAAGAATTCTAGGTTAGGCTCAGCATCTGTAGCACAGTGGTTACAGTGCCAGCCACATACACTGAGGCTGGCATGTTCAAGCCCGGCCTGGGCCAGCTAAACAACAATGACAACTGCAACAAGAAAATAGCCAGGCGTTGTGGCGGGCACCTGTAGTCCCATCTGCTTGGGAGGCTGAAGCGGGAGAATTGCTTGAGCCTAAGAGTTTGAGGTTGCTGTGAGCTATGATGCCACGGTACTCTACTGAGGGTGACATAGTGAGACTCTGTTTCAAAAAAAAAAAGAATTCTAGTTTGAAAATAATTTCCCTCAGAAGTTTTTGTTTATCTAGGAGAAATTTGAATGTGTGAAACAGAGAAATTTCTTTCTGAAATGATGGGAAATCCTGATAGGCTTCTCTGAGTGGTGTAAAGGCTGTGCACAGGCTTACAGTCAACATGCTTCTGCTCTGGGCTCCTGGCACTGCAGAAGGAACCTACATTTCTGGCAGGGCCCTCAGAAGTTTGAAGACATGACTAGTATCTAGTGTTCTGTGTTGCCTTTGAGAGGTTTAATGCCCTTTTGATTCCCATCCTTTTATGTGTGATTTGCTTTTTCTCTCACTAAGAGTCTTTTTTTTTTTTTTTTTGAGACAGTCTCACCATGTTGCCCTGAGTAGAGTGCTGTGGCGTCACAGCTCACAGCAACCTTGTGGTGTCACAGCTTACAGCAACTTCAGACTCTTGGGCTTAAGCGATTCTCTTGTCTCAGCACTCCAAGTAGCTGGGACTACAGGCGCTCGCCACACGCCCAGCTATTTTTTAGTGCAGTTGTCATTGTTGTGTAGCAGGCTCAGGCCAGGCTCGAACCCACCAGCTTTGGTATATGTGGCTGATGCCCTGTTCACAGAGCTACAGGCGCCAAGCCTTTTTTTTTTTTTTTTTTTTTAAGACAGAGTTGGACTCTATCATCCTGAGTAGAGTGCTGTGGCATCACAGCTCATAGCAACCTCAAACTCTTGGGCTTAAGCTATCCTCTTACCTCATCCTCCCAAGGAGCGGGGACAACAGGCGCCCACCACAACACCTGGCTAGTTTTTCTATTTTTTTTTTTAGTAGAGACAGGGTCTCACTCTTGCTTAGGCTGGTCTTAAACTCCTGAGCTGAGGCAATCCACTTGCCTTAGCCTCCCAGAGTGCTAGGATTCCAGGCATGAGCCACAGCACCTGGCCTCTCACTAGGTGTTCTAACATTTTACAGTGATGTGACTTCATGGGCGTCATTTTCCAATAATTTTATAATGAACTCTTTCAGGCTGGAAAATTATCTTATATTGTTAGTTTTTTACTTTTTATATAACTGTTTTCTTTGTTCTTTTGGTTCCAGAATGCCCATTAGTAAGATGTTGGATCACTTAAGTTGAACCTCCAGTGTTCTTAGTTTTTCTCAGAGATTTTCTCACCTTTGTTTTTTCTTTTTAATTTTACAGAGCTTTGCATCGATTTTCTGTTGCTTTGTAGCAAATTACCACAAGTTTAGCAGCTTATAGTTTTTGCAGGTCAGAATTCTGGGTATGGCATAGCTAGGTTCTCTGTTCCGAGTGTCTATAGGCTAATGTCAAGGTTTAACTAAATTAAAACCTAAATCAATGTGTACTTTCCTTTGAATCTTTATTTTAAAATTGCTTTTTTCTGTTTATATTATCATAGAACAAGTTGGGAGACACAGCTTTGCACGCTGCTGCCTGGAAGGGTTATGCAGATATTGTCCAGTTGCTTCTGGAAAAAGGTAAAGTTTGGACTTTATCTGGTCTTTGATTACCTTAAAAAATAGGCTATATCAAATTATACCATTTGAAATAGTAGGAAGAATAATAGTCTCCTTATTTTAAAACTGGGGTCTTGATCTACTCTGTATCACAGTTGTTATGAAAGATGAAATTTTAGGGTTTATTTGTGTTAGTTTTTAGTATAAATTAACATAGTGGCAAGCTATATATGTGATACTTTTAGTAAGAGCTTGCTGTACATTTCTGCAGGATTGTAGGATTAGAAGGAAGGGTTGTGGGTGGTGTATGTGTGCATGTGCCGGGGGAGATCCTGTCTGAGAAACCTGTGTGGGCAAATTTGCTAAGGTCCCTGTTCTCACAGGAAAATCTTGATAGATAAGAAAGAATGCTGTGGCTATTGGATCCTGATTTGAGTTGAGCAGGTGCTAGATATACAGAGAACACAAGAGGATACCTTGATTCTCTGATTTACAAGGCAGAGGGAGCAGTGAAGTTATAGGCTGACCATCCATCCATCCATTTGACCCAGAAGTATTAATTAACTCTTAAAGGGAGCCAAGCATATCACCCATACCACACCCTGGTCCCAAAGCCTATAATGTAGAATGTTTGAGTCCCCAAGCCACAAGTCATGGAATCACCGTCGTTAGGGCTCTTCATAACAAAGTGGTGAGATGCATGGCAGGAAATGTTTTAGATATTAAGTATGTGGATGATGTCAGCTCCAAGTCTAAGAGGTCAGTGCCCCCAAAGGTTATACTGAGGGCTGTGCTGTCCTATATGGCAGTCACTTGCCAGTGTGCAACTGAGCCCTTGAAATGAGGCTGTGTGAAATGAGATGTTCTGTACGTGTGAAATGCACACCAGACTTGGAAGACGTAGTGAGGCAAAAGAGTAAAACATCACAATGATTTTTTTCTTGATTATAAGTTGAAGTGATAAAATTTCTGGTATACTGGGTTAACTAAAATATGCTATTAAAAATAATTTTACATATATGGCTGACAATATATTTCTTTTAGCCTGGTCAAGCGGGACCCAGGAAATAGTTGTGTTTCTTCTTTAACATCACTGTCTGCATATTTCACGTGTATGAGTTATAAAGAATAATTGAATGTAACATACGCTTAGTCGTAGAACTGTTAGCCTTCAGGAGTTTTTGACCTGTAGCACACTGACAGAGGAGGTATTGCACGTAACCCTACTGTGAATAGATCTGCTCAGGAGGAAGATTTTGACACAGATGGTCATATTATTAATTAATCATACCATTTTTTCTTAAATCAATATTTTTGTGCCTTTAAGTATTTTTTGTTTATCAAGAGGGGGTTTGTTGCAAAGAACACGACACTCTCATACACTGCGGCACAAAGTATAAACTGGAAAAGCCTTCTCGGAAAGTGATCTTAGAACCAGACATGAAAAAGGAGACATGAGAACTGATACCTCCGAAATTCAGAGGCTCATTAGAGACTATTATGAAGAGCAATCTGATAGTAGCTGGCAGAATTAAAAATGTACTTCGCCTTACATTTCAGCCCCACTTCTAGGAATACCTGTGAACAGTGATGTTGTTCAAGCAAGTTCATTGCAGTATTTGGTAATGCAAATTTGGAACAGCCCAAATGCCTATCAGTAGAGGAGTAATACAAGTTTGGGAACACCCATAAAATGGAATGCTTATAAAGGTTTAAATAGGGTGGGTTATAAGTAAGCATATTGCCAAGAAAAGAGTACTGTTTTACATTGTTAAGTTAGAAAAATCAAATTACATAGCCATAGGTGTGGTATGATAAGATTTTGTGTCTGGATCCACATATAGATTGTGAATGCAGTGACACGCTTAAGGGAGACAGGAGCTGACGCTCATTTGTCAAGAACGGTTCCCTCATGAGAGGGTAGACTGGACCATGGGAGATGAACTGGGACTTGGGCTTTTGTCAGCATATTTTTGGATTTTTAACAGTGCAAATGTATTCATGAATTCTAATGTAATTTGTAACACAATTAAGACAAAGAAAAAGTGGGCAGAAGATGGTTTATAGGGACAGTAAATTGCCTCTGGGTTTTACTGTGTTGCCATTCTGCTCATTGGCATGAGAGTATGCTTACAGATATAAAATGTTAGTTCCCTCAAGTTCAACCCCTTTGGTCTTCTATAAAAAGACCAGAAGCAGCAAAGGGCTTCTTGAATTTAGACTCCATGGGGGCTGGTAAACTCACAGCACAGTTCACATTGCATCCTACAGGGACTCAGAAGGAGAAGGCTCTGTTTTTATTGAGCATAATTATCACAGGTGTGGGAATAAATTCTCTGGTTAAAGATGACAAAAACACTCTTCTGAGAAAGTTTTACTGTTTTGAAAAAGGTTACTTTCTTGGCCAGAATTGTCCTCTTAGTTTCTAGGTTTGCTAAAAGTGATTAGTTATGGTGGAAAGAGGATCAGCTGCTACAATGAAATCTTCAAAAACACCTAATTTACTTTTCTTCTGTTGGGAAGGTGCTAGAACAGACTTAAGAAACAATGAGAAGAAACTAGCCTTCGACATGGCTACTAACGCCGCCTGTGCATCTCTCCTGAAAAAGAAACAGGGAACAGGTATTTGTTTAAGATCCTTATTTCTCTTCTGACTATGATTTATTGAATTAGTATTGGGAAAAAGAAACTCAGTGATTCTGAAGTTTGTTAAAATGTCCTTGGTCTATATCAGAACCTCCAAAATAAAAGAGCATGCTCAAGCAAACAAATTTGAAGAAAGAATGGATTTTTTTTTAATTTTAATTTTTAGAGATGAGGTCTCTCTATTGCCCCTGCTGGAGAATGTTGGCATCTCATAACTCACTGCAGCCTTGAACTCCTAGGCCCAAGTGTTCCTCCGGCTTCATCCTCCTGAGTAGCTGAGAAGACAGGTGTATGCTGCTGAGAGAATGGATCTTCTATGTTTTTTCCAATATGTCTTTTGTTCCTTGGAATCACATTCTAATCATCTTGCCTGTCATCCTTCTTAGAGATCCATCATCTCTGTTCCTTCATTTTAATATGTATTTATGAGTCCTTATCACCAATTTGTTTTTTGAGACAGTCTCACTTTGTTGCCCCAGCTAGAGTGCCATGGCCTCAGCTTAGCTTATAGCAACCTCAAATTCCTGGACTCAAGAGATCCTCCTGCCTCAGCCTCCCAAGTAGCTGGGACTACTGGTGCCTGCCACAGTGCACAGCTACCAAATATTTTTTTAAATTAAGCATTCAACAGCTCCATGATTATATTCTGTTTCTTTTTTAAAGTGGCGGTATCAGTTGGACACAGTGGATCATATCTATAATCCCAGTTCTGTGGGAGACCAAAGTAGGAGGATTGCTTGAGGCCAGGAGTTTGAGACCAGCCTGGGTAACACAGAGAGATCCTATCTCAAAAATAAGTAAAAAAATAAAGTTAGCCTCCTCATATCCTACTCAAGTCAATCAGTAAACAGGCCAGGTGCAGTGGCTCACACCTGTAATTCTAGCACTCTGGGAGGCCAAGGTGGGTAGACTGCTTAAGCTCATGAGTTTGAGACCAGTCTGTTGGGTGATGTTCTTTCTTGCAGGGAGAGAAGGACGGCTTGGCCACGGGTGCAAGCTCGCTCCTAGAATTGTTTAAAAGCAAGAAACAACTACACACTCTTAGGTGGCATGTAGCAAAATGTCTTTATTTTCTACTCCCTTTTATTGGGAGCGAGTCACGTACACCACATTGATCAATAATCCTAACGTCCTCATTTCTTATCTTAAACTATAGAAAAGAAAGAAAGTCCAGGAATGTGAGATAGCCATCATAAGATTAGCCTAAAGAAAGAAAGTCCGGGAAAGTAAGACAACCATCTTAAGCTAGCCTCAGGCTACTCCTCTTGGAAGATCTAAAAGGAAATACATTATCTGACTTCTATTGTTAAAGTTAAAGGTTAGGATAAACAGAGGAGTAAAACCTTTCTCTTCTATGTACTCAATTAAATTTCTGAGAAACTGGCTTCATGACTGTTTTTTTTATGGTTTTGGAGACCCTGCAGTTACGATGGAGTATTTTACTCGACATCATTATGATGGAGTTTTTCTTTTTACTCACGTCAACCTTTGAGTCATGTCCTCTGCACAGATGGGCCACTTCAACCCTTATCTGACAGGCTGACTTGACTGCACAGTCAGGGTTCCCTGTAGGAGGTTTTTACGCCTGGCCTGCAGGCCCCCACCGTGTTTTCTCAGGTTGCTTAGGGTTTCGACAAAAGCACATAATACTCACAAGTCTTTTCGCTCAGTTCTGGAATTAAAAGAGCACATTTCATTTAATTTTTGTGGGGGTTTACCCCACACCAGTCAGAGCAAGAGTGAGACCCCCGTCTCTACCAAAACCTAGAAAAACTAGTTGGGTGTTGTGGTGGGTACCTGTAGTCTCAGTTCCTTGGGAGACTTTGGCAAGAGGATCACTTAGTCCGAGATTTGAGGTTGCTGTGAGCTGTGACACCAAGGCATTCTACCAAGGGTGACAAAGTGAAACTCTATCTCCAAAAAAAGAAAGAAATAGAAAGAAATATCTTCTTTTTAGGGCTTGCCAGGGGAGCATCTCAGAATTGTCCTCTTTATCTATCATCAGGTTCTCATCTTAGCTTTCCTCAGAAGTCTTTTGTCCTTGATTATAGATATGTCTTCATTCCAGATTTTAATTTACTTTTAAACTTCGGTTCAGACATGGCATAAACTGTTAATCCTTTCTTACTGAAGCCATGCAGGCTCACTGGCAGCGCAAGTCTTTTCTTTAATAACTCCTGCCCAGCTGGTTCTACTAGGGTATGTGAAAGTGTTTCTCAGCTGAGCTGGTGTGCTCCAGCCGCTGTTTGATTGAGAAGCCATTTTTGCAGCCATGTGGGAGAGACACTTCTGCCTGAGATCTGCTTCCTATTCCTTACTGTCTTAGTTGGGTCAAGAAGTTAGGACTGTGGCCTAACTTCCTTTCTCTGCCACTGACTTCCTGTTGCTGTGGGTAGTGCTTGACTCTCCTGACCAAAGAGTAAGGTATCTTTCAAGCTGAAGTTTATCAGCGTCTCTTGCGTCTATAAGCTTGATCGTGATAGGCAAGGACAAGACCAAACCTTCTCAGACCCCAGCAGCTGCACCCAGAAGCCTGCTCGTAAGGGATTGGGGCTGGTGGTAAACTCTTGCTCTTTCGCCCTCACCTCCTGCAGCCTTTGTAGAGTAGGGCTAGAAGGTAGGTACTGTTTTCTCTGCTCACTCCAAGTGTGTTTTCATCTACCTTTTAAAATTTGTACTGATTACGTACTGAATTTGTTAATAAAGTAATCTTGGGGCCTGGCAGACAGAGGCAAGAAATGAATTTTCAGATTTCAATTTTCAGATTACTTTCTTCTATTTTTTTCTTGCTTCATTTCCCCCGTCATCTGGTTTTTAAAAAGCTTTAATTTGTAATATTATCTTGGGTGGAATGAGGGTTGGAACATTTGGCCATATAGTTATTGCCAGGATGAACTCTAAACTAGAAAAGGTGTATTCTGATGTTGTTGTTCGCTTTTAAAAGCACAACTTGGATTTTTTACAGGGAGAAAATAATTCAGACACTGCAATTACCATGGAGAATAACTTTGATAGGGGGTTATCAGGGAGTAAGGACCATACTTAAAGGTAGAATTCTTTAAATTTTTTCCCCAGTCATCAGGAATTGGAGTATAAGTCATATTAAGTACATTGTATGCATCTTAATAGCTTAACTATTTTTACCATGCTTGCACCTGTTTATTCACCGCAACCTCAGCAGAAGACACAACGTAGATCGAAGACATTTCCCACATCCACAGAAGCCTCTCTCTGCTTTTCTCATCATAGATTAGTTTTGTCTGTTCATGAACTTGATGTAAATGGAATCGAACCCTGTGCATGACTTCTTTCACTTACATTATGTCTGTGACATTCATCCACATGACTGTGTTTCTCCGTCACCATTTATTTATTTATTGTTTGTATGTCTTCTTGTCTTAAGTGTTGATGCTTGATTTGGGTCCGTGAACCCAGGGCCGTGGGATTGAGGAAAACAGAAGTGAGGTGAAGGAGGATGAGAGAGCAGCTAGGAGATACACAGGGTGGACCTAAAGTTCAAGTGCAATTTAAAATAGTTTAACATAGGAATATACCATCCGGACCACACCCTGAGGTGGGCTATCAAGAAATACCCTCATCCATCACTTGGCATTGACCATGTGGGAAGTTTCCAGAGAAGGCTGCCTCAGAACGGTTCAGGAAAGAAAGGAGGAAGCCTTCTTTCTTTTCATAATAGGAGAAAGAAGATAAAAATAAAAAGCTGAAATAACAATTGAACAAGTTTATTGCCTTGATGTATGTAGCCGGTGCCCTACCCACTGAGCTACGGATGTCACCTCCAAGTTGTACTTTTAAAAGTGAACAACATAAGAATTCACTGACTATTTACCTGACTCACAGCTGCCTTGATTTCGTAGAGTTTGCACCATGGCATGTCATCTTTCTTTTTATAGTAGGAGAAGATTAAAACAAAGAGCAGAAGTAACAATTGAAGGATACAGTATCTTAAATAGTCAGAACGTAGTCCTGACCGTAGGACTTTGCCTCTGTTCTGCTATATGTTCACTTGTTCTCCCTTTATCTTTCCGTTTCTCTCTCGTACAAATCGGTTTCTACCTCCCTTGAACTGATCCTCCCTTCTCTCTT